CGCCGCACAGTCAAAGCACTTAAATCAACAAAAGGCAAAACCAACAAAAGTGAATCAACAATCACAATCACAAACCACAAAGGGGAATAAAGGCAGAAAACGCGTTTATCGGCGGATAGTTCCAAATCACAATGCGTGAATGTCAATGAAAATGAAAATGAGTGTGTTGTCAAGGCGATAAATCTACTCGCGAACAGAAATGTCAAAAAAAATGACAAAAGGAGTGTGTGAACACTCTGAAAGAATGACAAAGATGGAATCTATTTTGGAGCAGACAATCAAAGAGTGTGTACACAAAACAATGTCTCCCGAAATAGAGAAAGTAAAGAAAGAATTCAATAAAAAAAATCAAAAAGTTGGATCTGAAATGAAAGACATGCTCAAAACATCCAATCTTAAAAATAAAAGAAGTTCTGAACACGAAATGGAAATAGACCCAACAACTGTCCCTAACGACAAGTCACTGGATATTGTCATAAGAAATCTTCCAGAAAGAACGCCCGAAAATACAAAAGAACTCGTTGAAGACATGTTCGAAGACGGAATGAATCTTAGAATCAACGTAGAAAATGCCGAGCGTAAAGCCCCAAAGTCATTGAGAGATACTGGAGTAGTTATGGTGCAATTAGGTTCAGAGGAAGATAAAATGGCAGTTATGAAAACTAAGAAAAGTCTGCGAAACGATAGAAAATACAAAAATGTGCACATTGATGAGTTCAAATCGATTGAAAACGAATCTCAAACCTTAAGGCGATCGCAAGCGTTGTTGGTAGAGATAGGTTGTATGTGAGGGGTGATAGGATCTACGCATATGAAAGTGTAAGATCAAATAACTACCGTGAGGATGATTGGCAAGATGTTAGGTACCGTAACCGTCTTTTGACACAACGGGACAGATCAAACGAGCACAGAGATTATGGAAGATATTATAGAGGATACGACGAGTCACGTGACAGGAGATCGCGTGATACCAATAGTCAGCGAAATGGTAGATTTGGAAGAGATATAAAAAGTTATGACTCCCGCAGACCACATGGCTTTTATGATAGATACTAGGTCAGATGCGGGTTTTGGAGCCCGAATAGTTTTAGCAAAGATATGGACTCAGAAAACTATACATTGAGAAAACAGTGCCTTGATCATCTGAAACTAGACATCGTATGCATCGCTGAATGGCATTTAAGAATAAAGAAATCTTGCATATTGACGGCTATAAATGGTACGGAAGTAACCGGATATCAATACACAAACAAGCACCAAAAGGTAGTGGCGGCGTAGGAAGTTTTGTGAAGAAAGCTTTATATGAGAAATATAACATTAATATACTTGACATTGAAACTGAAGATATACTTTGGTTAAATTTGAAACACGGAATGTCGAATGAAAACATGCGAATATGTGTATGTTATCTGCCTCCGGCCAACTTGATAAGAGCAACGAATGTAAATGAATTTTTTGACACATTACTAAGCCAAACATAAGAATATCAAGATGGTGCTTTATTGACAATTGTAGGTTACTTTAATATTTCGTACTGGCAAGCATGAAGACTACATACCCGGAGTTGACAATATTCCCGAACGAGATGCTGTTGATTATTTCTCGAGCCCAGTACAGTGACGCGCTAATTGATTTTTCTTTTAGCAGTAATATGTGCATATTAAATGGCAGAAACTTTTTTCCCTGAAATGATTTAACGAGTGTGTCTTCAAAGGATTGTCGGTAGTCGATTATTGTATCGTGCCATATGAACAATTACACCGCTTGAAAGACATTAAGATGATAAGAACTAGTGATTGATAAGTGAAGCAGTTGACATCTCAACAATTGAAATTTTAAAATACTGACCATTCGTGCTAACGTGAGAAAATAAAATTGAAAGAAAAGATAATCACTTAGCAGAACAAGTGCAAAATTGAAGAAAAAACAACCTTTGTGAAAAACAATAGATCAAATATACCGGACATATTTATGAATGAACAAGAAACACATATGAAATTATTAGACATCATCCGCGCTCTTGAACGAGATCAGAATTAACAGAAGTGCATCGACAAATCATACGAAGAGTTTGTTGAAATAATGAATGAACAGAAGAAAAAGCACATTAACCCCAAGACAGTGACTATAAATCCTAAATATAATAAGAAACGTCGTATAAAGAAACCATGGTGGAATGAATACTTAAGTTCGCTTTGGAATAATATGTGCATGAAAGAAAAAATGTACACTCAATGCAAAAGTCGATAAAATGTGCAGAAAAGAAAAAAGGAATATTGGTATGAAAAGCAGGGAAAAAAATTAGCTAGTAAAGTAAAAAACTCAAAAGATTTTTAAAAAAGATTGGCAAAGTTGGAATCGCGTAAAAAAAAAAAAAAATACGATTCCCATGAAATTGAAAAAAATGATGGAAAAATTTCAGTCATCGACTCAAGAAGTTTCCCAAAAAAATGGAAAAATGCGTTTTAAAACTTATTTAGTGGCGAAAATCAGCCTACTAACTATTCTCCAAATAAATATTCATTTACAAATACACATTCAAAAAATAATGACCGACAATGTCTTAATGAGGGAATAACAATAACAGAAGTTTAAAATGCTATCAATCACTCAACAAAAACAAAGCTGTTGGACACGACAATATCCCGCAGAGACCATACGAAATTTGCCCTGGCAACGATTTTTTACACAAGCTTTTTTTTGCGTGTTTTGCGTCAGGAAAAATACCAAACGCGTGGGACCATTGGTCTTATCCACTCCCATGCTTAAAAACCCATCCGCAGACAAAAGTAATCAAAATCAATTATTGCGGAATTACAGTTACCTCAGCAGTATATAAGGCATATTGTTCGGTGTTGAATAATAGGCTCGTTGAATGGTGTGAAAGAAATGAGGTTATATCAGACTCACAAAACGGATTTTCAGACGAAAAAAGGAGTAACAATTGATCAATTATCTACCTTAACAAGCATTATCAGTTTTTGTAGGAAAAAAATGAAGAAATGAACTTTTGTGTGTTACGTCGCTTTCAGTAAAGCCTATGATAAAATCGATAGACAAATATTGTGGAACAAAATAAAAATATTGGAATCAGAGTAAATATGCTAAACGCGTTTAAATCATTATATATAAAAAATGTGAAATGCGCTTACGGTCAATAATTATACCACAGACTGGTTCAACGTTGATATTGGGTCTTAAAACAGGGATGTCTCGCTATCTACGACGGCCTTCAAAATATACAATAAATGACTTGAGTGTAAAGCTTGATCATATGAATATAGGAATAAAAGTCGATGGAGAAAAATATATGTCACCTATTATACGCCGATGATTTGGTGCTTATTGCTGAAAATGAAATAGAACTTCAGTCGCTTATGAATGAGCTTGCAAACTGGTGTATTGAGAACAGAATGTGTGTAAACATTGACAAAACTAAAGCCATGCATTTCCGTAATCCATCCATCCTGATAACAGAGTATAATTTTACCTTAAATGGCAATATCTCGGATTGATGCTTAATGAAACTTTAGATAACGCAAAAATAGCAAAATACGTTGCTCAATCAGCTACTCGTGCTCTCGGTCTAATTATCAGTAAATTCAAACTCCTCATAGGTTGAATGCCGTATGCAGTTTGTACTAAATTATACGACAGTATTGTGTGGCCAGTGATCAGTTACGGAGCAGCAATATGGGGAACTCGAAAATACTCAGCGATAAACGCAGTTCACCATCGTGCCTGCAGATTCTTCCTTGGTGTAGGCAAATATACTCCGAACGACGCAGTTACAGGCGACATGGGATGGCTCCCCCTCGGATAAGACAATGGCGATCTACACTCGGACATTGGTTTAGGTTAAATAATATGCCATCCTCAAGACTTAATAATCATGTATTTAAATGGTCATATAGTATACGAAACAAAATGAAAAATTGGTGCTATGGTATAGATACAATTACACAAAAGTGTCTTGATAAATCTTTAATATTAAACAAATACTATAGTCAGTCTGAGAGATCAAATTTTATGAACTTATTTGCAAGACAAACTGTTTCTGGATTTCAAAAATGATTGGGGTCAACGAGAATAAATTCAACTACTGGTGTTAGTGGACGAAAAAAGGCAACAAAACTAAGACAATATAAACTATTTAAGAAAGAATATTAAACTGAACACTAAATGTACCAGTCTGAATGATAAAAAAAGACATTATAGGGCCGCATTATCTAAATTAAGATGTGGAGTTGCTCCTCTAAAAATCGAGACTGGTCGTTATGAAGCTTTACCAGTTAATGAGAGACTAGTTTTAATTGTAGTAATAGCATTGAAGATGAGCTACATGTCCTGGTTAAATGTCCACTTTATTCGCAAATAAGAGAGGCGCTTTATATCGACATATGTAAAACTAATGTCAGATTTCTAATGTATAGTGATAATGTGAAATTCATATATTTGCTATCAAATGAAAATATTGTAAAATATTCTGCCAAAACCTGCTTTTATATATTATGTGTGAGGCGCAATTTATTATATAATGGCTAATTTTTACTCTGTACATATGTATCATAGTCAAAATCAGAATAATAGTTAGTATGCGTTTGTTTTATATGTGTAATAATTTTATTGCCACCATATATTTCAGCTTTTAACAATATTTTAGTATATTAATATTGTTTTTAAATAGGTTTTTATTTATGATCATGTTCTTAGTCTCTCATAACTCTTTTAGAGTGGTTTTATACACGTATTTCTTTTATAACTTTGTTATATTTGTTAATGTATGTACAAAAGTGAGACTTAAATAAACAAATTGACTTGACTTGACTTGTTTATTTTTCTATCATGTCAAGGGCTTTTTCTATGGTTGCTATAGAAGTCACTAGTTGACAAATGCAGTCCATGAACAAACTCAATCAAACTTTGAATTTAAGACTTCTGCTTTTCGCTTCATAAGTATTGAATAAAGTTTTTTCATTTCAATCATAAAAAAAATATAATCAATATTTATCAATTTTACCTAAACAATTTCTGAAGTTCCATTTCCCATTATAGAAAAACCCTGTTGCTTTTCTAGATTGCCAAAGTTTTGTGATGTTGTATTGTGAACAAGGTATTGATGGCTTTTCAATAGTTAGTTTTGCCTTGTCTTCGTTTCCTATCGAGACATTTAATCTTTGTTCCAGTGTCGGTTGGCCTCTATAATGCAAACAAAATATAAGCAATTTCAATTATATTTGTTATCATGATATATTGATAATAAAACTGTACTAAGTAAATTATTTCTGTTTATTTGTTACATATTCTGCTTTAAATTTCACTTAACATTTACACAGAAATCATTGACTGAAGTAGACTTGGCTAATAATTTTTGAACGGACATATGTGCGAAATACCATTTAAATACCATTTAAATATTTGTAATTACTTAATTAAAGATAATCCCCTATAAACCTGGTAGATAAAAACAAAGATCATCAAGGAAGTTCAATTCAATGAATGCATCCAGCAAGTAACATAGAAACACCGGCAGGAAACCCAGCAGATCACTGACCTTTTATCATTGCCAATACAATCAAGATAAAGTAATTCAACAACTAGCAATTTGTGATGCACAATAGTTTAGTATAGATGACCAATAAACTAACATTTCAAATGGTTAAAAATGTCGTAAATAACAATTTCGATGAATTACCTTTTTAATAATGTGTCCTCACAATCACTCAATTGAAGTTCAGGATAAGGTGTATGCGTGCGTACTTGCTCCCAGTCTTGGCACAGCAAATGTTCATCCTTTGGTTTTCCACAATAAAACGGCATACCGGAGTTCATATAAGTCAAGTTACAAAGTTCTGTATAATTTGTGTTCTTAATCAGGTGTGTATGGTTCGGATGACAAGTCATATCTTCTTGGTAATTTCGACTTTTGAATAACCCATAAATGTTTCTCGTAGCTAAAACCTGGAAGTTAAAATAATTTCCATTCTTATATCTATAATAAAAAGTAACAAATACTAATTATGTTTACATTACAATAAAGGATAATAATTAGACTGTCCTTGTTTGGATTTCATGTCGATTTTAACACATAATTCTTGGTCATATCTCGGCACCGGCTTTCCTTGTAAATTAATCAGTACTTACGTTTTTGTCGCAACCGGACGACTATTCATCTCAAATTGTTTATTAATCAGTGGTGAGAGAGGCACATTACCAATACACTCAATATCCGAAATCAATAGTGAAGGAGAAATTATACTTCGCATTAAGTATGATCAAACCAGAAATCTTTAGATTTCTTACTATTGAGCTTAGCGGGCAAAAATTGCAACCCTTATTCTTTTAACATAATAGGATATGTCATAGGTATAAGCATAGGTGTTTACTGTACACTGATTATAGGATTAATAAGACAATATCTGTACAATATGTAAAAATTGGTCATTCATTGTAAAAGATTTAGATATGCTTCCTTTTGATAAAAATAAGATGTTGAATGACGCATTAATAAATCATATTGCTCCGTGAAAAGATACACAGGTGTAAATGGCTTTAACCGCAATAAACTTAGAGTAGTTTTGATACTGAACTATATAATGAAATTACAATTACCATATTGTCATAGGTCAAACAATGTGTGAGATTCACCATCTGGATTTAAAAAATGATGTAAAATATTTTTTTCAAAAATGTTTAGAAAGAACAAGTTCTTTAAAAATCAGCAGGACCCACAACCCATGCAAACTATATGTTTCCGTTTAAATGAATTCTCCTAAAAAGGGGGTTCTGCATACGGTATTTAATAAATTAAAAGCAAAAACTCAATCACTATTAATCAGTGAACGCTTGTGAAAGAATTTATTCTATACACAACTTTTAATTGTCTTTTTACGGGACGTCAGGACTTTAATTTAAGCACAATGTTGTTGTTTTTTGTCTTTATTTTTCTTTTCAATTAATATACGAATAATTTATGTTTAGGTTATAGCCAACAGTTGTATTTCTGGAGTATAGAACATACGGAACACTGTACAAATCATACAATTTTACAATTTGCTAAGATTGCTGCTTTGACTGCTGATAGGTTTACAACAGTCGTTGAATATTTTCTTTACGTATTGTTTTGACTGGAAATTATCAGTAAATATAGAAAAGTCTATGATTTTGGTATACAGAAAATGTTTGTTATTTATCCCGCCATGAAAAATAGACGTAAAACACCAAACTACAATCTGTTAATGGACTATCACAAGTTGGATTACATTTTTTTCTGCTAACTATTCCTGTAAAAGATGACTAGGAACAATGCTTATAAAGCTAAAGTTATCATCATTGAAACATTTAACCCCTATGTCTTGTTAACTGTTGGATGCTAAGATTGCTTCTGTACGGCACAAAAATTTGGAGCCGTGAATATATGTGTTAAACTTATGGAAAAAAAATCAGTTTTATGCATGTACGAGATATATGAATGGAACCGTACCCTTTTGTATTGCTGTTGTCATTGGTGAATGTTGAATATACCCAATGGATATTTAGCAAGCATACGCTGTATATAATTTTGATTGAGAATTCCTTAAATACCAGACTAATGGCATGTTAAGATATCATTTAATGTTGATTTATGATATATAGGATGTACAAATTCGGTACTCTACAGTTAAACTGTTCTTATATAGAAATGGTCCTGGTTAAATTTAGGAAAGCATTTATTGCAAACAAAGTTAGCTTAAAAACAGATGGATTTAAGGTTTAAAGAGCATGGTTACAAGACTAACCATGCCAATGGCATGTAAATGTATAACTTACTTCCTATATTATTAGTATTTAGTTTTTTTTTCTAGCATGAAATTACCTTGATAGTGTTGCCATTAGGAAATTTAGATGCAGTAAAATCTAGATCGACATTACTTCAAAATATTTATATAACTTAAATTGTGACCAATGATATTTCAAAAATGTACCAAACGTGTAACCCTGTTCTTGTTTTTTTTTCTTGTTTTAGGTTTCTTTTTATAATTTATACTCTTCTCAGTAATAAAATGTACAAACATAAGATAACTACATTACAAGTAACACATATAACATATTCTTAAATATGTAAGAACAAGATAAAAACGCACACACAAAAACAGCACACATACATCTCGGGTACCATTAGTGATACGTACTCGTATAAGAGTGACCTTATTCATGTATTAAAAAGCAAAAAATAAAAGTAAAGATAGTGAAAAGAAAATAAAGAGGAACAAAAATACAGAAGATACATCTTCAGTATTTGACTATATGTTAACTTAATTGTTTTTATTCGTGAAAGATACATGTTTTCACATGTTATAGATTTTAAATGATTTATCAATTGAAAGAGTGCATTTACAAGTTTGAAAGAAAATGTTGGGTGTTAAAAACGACACAAAACGATTTTATTTATGGGGAATTAGGTCGTGTATCCTTTAAAAATGTGCATTTTTCAAATATTAAATATTGGTTAAAGATATTATGTTTGGGAACAAACAAGTATGTCTTCATAATTTACTCTTTGTTAAAAGATTATTTTGAACAACATGAAAAAAGGCGAAATTGGTCTTCCATGTTAAAAGATTTGTTATGTTTACTAGGTATGTTGATGTATGGTCATATCAAGGTGTATCTGATGATAAGATATTATTAAATGACTAATTTATACATAACTGGAAACTCAAGATTATCAAACTCTTGTAGAGATTTGTTTTAAAGAAATATTTCTTCTTTTAGATACCAACCATATCCTGACTGTTTTACTGCAAATAAATCCGTTCAATCCTTAAAACGTTTGAGATTGTCCTCTCATAGACTAAAAGTAGAAGCTGGTAGGTGGGAAATCCAACCAGAATACCCTTCAACGATAGAAAATGTTCAATATGCAATACTCTTGAACATGAATATCATTTTGTTATTGAATGGTCATTGTATACAGAATTAAAAAACATTTATTTACACAAGTTTTGGAAGAGTCTATGACATCTAGACCCCTTGACACCTCGACCCCTTGACACCTCGACCCCTTAGACATCTCGACCCCTGACACTTCGACCCCTAAGACACTTAGACCCCTTAAATATACCGGACATTTCGACCTCTTGATTAATGTATTGTTATATTGGGAAAGACCGTGCTTTTTAAAAAATAGAAAAACAAAGTTATGACTAGGTTAGAGCATTTTCAGCCGTTTATTAATCATTTATGTATATTATTTACAAAAAACAGTAACACAAATAAATATGCATGTACACACATTACATTGAAATAACAATACATATAGTACGCAGACACTATCACTCTCTTTATATACACATGTATGTAATAACTACAATATTTACAATATATACACTTTTTGAAACTGTATTTTTGTATTTCTTATTGATAATATTTTCCAATTACACATTTCCTTGTCTGAATGATTGATCAGGTGTTGCTTGATCTGCAGGAGCGTCAAAGAAAATACTACAAGTGGACTGTACGACGCTTAAACGTTTACGTGCCTTGTAATAGTCGATTCTACTGATACCTGCAAAATACAAATTTTAAATATGGGGGTCAGCTTCCGTAAATTATTACGCAGTCAATAATTACATTTCCGTAAACTATTACACACATAGAGGATATTGAAATAGTGTAGTTTAATACTTAATTTATTGAAAGAGTTGAATAAAATCATATTATGCGAGCCTCTGGTAAATAAATTTAGTATTGTATCTACACAAATATAATATTCTATTTATCACATATCTAAAATAAATACAGTAAACTGTTAAAATAAGTAATTTTTAAATGACGCGTCTATAGTGTAACGCCAACATTAGCGCGCTTTAACGCTATGTTTCTATATAGCGCAAATGACGTCACGTCAAAGTGTTATTACACTATAGTCTGTCCCACCAAATTTGAATATTCCATTTTTTATTAAATATAATAGTGAAATCATTTAAATTAATGTCATGTTAATCCTGACATCAATATCTCTAGGCATGTTTTTCATTTTTTCCATAAAGTCAGTAATATGGTCAAAATGTTAAAATTATATTTGCTCCCGTTGACTTACGTTGTAACCTGACGTGACGCCCATTTCAAAATGGCGGCGCCCATACAGACGTCATTAAGGGTTCGTCTCACAATTAGCGTGAAATGTACTCGGTAATTATAAAAAATTGATTATTCTTATTAACTTACTGATCAATAGCTGAATGTTATTTGAGTACTCTTCAAAGTGGAGGTAATGCATTAGGTGGGTCATACCTTAAAATGAATCAAAGTGCTGCAGCACTGAATGCGAAGGACATGCAACCGGAGAGACATTAAGGGTTTTTTTTTTTAGAAAAAGCAGCACAAAAGATATAACAGAGAAAATTTGTTCCATACAAGTTCAAGATTTGTAGAGCAATATATTTTATGTGTCCCAGTCTGATATAATTCAGATTTTCTACTTTCAAGCAGAACAAGTCCAAATATTTAAATACAAAATGAAATTTATGCCTAAAAACTCTGGTCAAACTTGTAAATCAGTGTACTTATCGATTTATTCCAAGAAATGATATGTAAATAGGAAAAAAACTGTCAACGAAATATTTCTAAAATAAAACCATGCAAATAAACTTCAATCAAAAATCTGGATCAACATAAGTGTAAATGTCATGCCATTCAGGAGTTTCAAAGTCTACGGAACTGGATATAAACTGGCAATGAAGTGATCTTCAGAATGCGAATTTGTCATGACGTTTATAAAGATCTATTTCGAAAGTCATAGGGATTCTATTCAGCTTAAAAGTAAGTGCAATTTCTAGATCTACTCCACAGACTCGATGATCTTGTTCAAGTTGTTGCTTGTTATTCATTTTTTAAAGTTTTTTATCATGCATTGCAACGAAACTGTTACATCTTGTAGATACAGCTTTGTAAAATAATCATGAAACGACCCCGAGAACATCATGTACATTTTAGAAACATGACACGTGCTTTCTCCCGTTCATCTTCAAATGAAGAGTACAGTAGGGTGAACGTTTCGGTTGTCAAAAATAGCGTTTTTCGTGCGTCCGTTTTTCGTGTAACGTGCGTGCGTATAGCGTGCAACGTGCGTTTGCTGAAACGCTTACTGGCGACAACACAGCAAATCATGCGGTGTCCTAATGAAACATACAGGACATCAACTTAAATCTACGTATTGTGCCAGCAATTTAATCATTACTGATTCTGGAAGCATTTCCCTTAATGTTATCCGTGGTAGAATCCTGTGTTTTTAATCTGTTTTCGTGACTTCTGTCAAAATAGTTAATTCCTTTATTTTACACTTAAGATTATATAGTTCGATTGTTTATGATGCAGCCTCACTTAATATATAGATTTGCCTCATAAATCCATCTGAATTTAATTGTTAGCACTGTATATTTATGACAATTTGCAATGCATTTTTCAATGTCGGCCATGTTGGACTATTACGTAGAGATTACGTAGTGAATGCAAGGGATAGTTCTTTATCCGATTGCGCATAAAAAGGAACACGTTACCCTAACTATTTTACTTTCGATATTAACGCATGATAGCTTATAAATATTTCTAAAAATCATTTGTTGAGGATGTGACAAAAATTAATTTCGGTGCTAGGTTGAGTGCATTTCAGTTCTTACATAAACCACGGATTTATATTACAATAAATATAAATCCGTGCATAAACTCGTTTAAAATACATTTCTAGCTACCATATATAGCTAAACGATCTCTAGACATGTAGCTAAAGTTGTTAAAAACTTAATATGATTACGATATTTTAATAAAGGTTTAGAAACGTTTTCATTTTGCGTGCGTTTTAGCGTGCGTATATCGTTTAGCGTATTTCGTTTAGCGTATATCGTTTTGCGTGCGTCTGCGTATTTCGTTTCGTTTTGCGTGCGTATAACGTGCGTTCGTATAGCGTGTAACGTGCGTGCGTTTTTTCCAGAACGTGCGTTTTGCGTGTAAACTGACACGTTCACCCTACTGTACTTCGGCAATGGCTACGGAAAATAAACAACATGCAGAGACTTGCCGTAGAGAAATGAAACTTTGCTTTTACAAAAAAATTAGACACTTTAGAGAAAAATCCTGAAAAATCTCGAGGGTGACTTTTTTTTAATTTTACAAAATAAATTTAATTTTTATTCAACGTGTGTTTATTAATTCATACCAGGAAAAGTTCATTTCCATTTTTAATGGGACAGACTCTAATAGTGTAATATCGTTTTTATTACATGGCTTTATTACACTCCTGCGCCGCGGTTTATGTGATAAAATTCAATATTTCATTTAGTATAAACGTTCATTGCCAATGTAACATTATTATGTCTTACAAAACAATAAAATGATGTTTACAAATTTTAAGTTATTATTAATACGGCTTTCGTATGAATTATATGTAAATGGAAAAATGAAACATTACTCACCAGTGTTGCAGGTTCTGTGTTGCACCTTCTCACAAATGTCACATGTGACGGCATGTTGTAAAGGACGAACAGTCTCCTTGCACGTAATACACAAAACGGACATTATCATTGAATCAATGAATATAATTATGACAAAATTTAATATACACACAAAAAGTAAAGTCTGTAATAATATTCCTTCAATTATTTATCAGGCAATATTAAAAGGAAACACGCTTAATATTAATAATTTAAATAAAAACTAAAATGTTGTAGAAAATACGCGTTTTTATGTATATCTTTACAAGTTTGAGTAAATCTGGGACATAAGCTTATAGTCTCAGAGTAAATGATATTATTAATAAATGTGTGTAAATAATTAGCAAAGGCTTTCTATAACATCAAAGATCATTTGTAATGCGCGATGTTATATATGTAATAAAAAATGTTATTTAATGCGCTAATGACGACATTATAAATTAACACCATTAAATTAAACAACGGGACTCTAATTCGATTTTAGTCCGTAATTAAACAAATGAAGTCTGTGATTTGTTTATTAATCACCAAAATTAGATTTAAAAAATGCAATTTTTGCAACTGATTTTTCAGAAAAACAAATAAATTTAAACAAAAATCTTTAAGATTATTTATAAGTCTTACAATATTTTCAAAAAATATTTACGGTTCTTTTAAAGTCCAACATTTAAAACAGGGGTCGAAATGTCTTGGTCAGTAGGGGTCGAAAAGTCATCTTACAAGGGGTCTAAGAGTCAAGGGGTCTAGATGTCATCTTAATATCCTAAGGGGTCGAGAAGTCAAGGGGTCTAGATGTCTTACTTGCCTTGCACTGTGCTCACCTCGGCGTTCTAAATTTTCTTTGGACGCCCTGAGAACGCCACCCTAATGTGACAGGTGTTTAATGATTTTTATTCACCCATAAAGTTTTCAGTTGATATATGTTATGCTTTTTGAGTAACACACCGGGCAAAGAAATGCTAGATTTAAGAACGGGTGGAGACTATTACCATTCTCCTACTTCAAAAGTATCATATTACTAGTATAAGACACCTACCTGAGTCCTTATACGGTAATTTGTCGCAATTATTTCTCTTGGATAAGCAAGAACTACGATTATTGAAGACGTTCCTGACCAAAATGCTTCACATGTCACAGAATGAGTACCATTCATATTGTCGGTGACCACACAGGGAGCGGATGCTTGCAATTGTTTGTTCTCTATCGTTCCTCTTAATTGATCTCCTCCAAACATTATTCGTTTACCATATCCATCCTTCATTGTAACAAGAATGGTGATTTCATCACCAATATTGTATGGTTGGTCTTTATATTCTACAAAATTAAATACATGTACAGTTTAGAATTTTATAGACGTGCAATTCAACTTTATTCCCAGTTAATTCTAATTTAAAATTTTAAATCATATTTTAACGCATAAAGACGGTTTGTCTTCAAGTGTACTTTCATAATAATATTTAAGTAAATAAAAACAGGAAATTTTGAGTTTAAGATAGCCAATTTAGACTGAAACCAGCTCTTAAACAATGTTACCCTTCATAAACATAACATCTGATCTGATATATACTCCATGTAAATTATCATGTTTTGATATGACCACTGTCCGACAATAGTTTTGCAATAATCTAATATTCAAATAGTCCATAACAAAAAGCTTCCATTCTTAGAATCATTCTCATTTATCAGTTTAAGATAACAATTTTGTACGATGAGTTTTTAAATGGTTCTAAACAAAATGAAACAGCAACAACGAAGTGATTAAACGAGAGCGTTCTAAGGGAATATCGTAATTCTTTTTTGTCATTATTTATATTCAATAAAAGGTAAGTTTATATAATACTGATCAAATAGCTCGGATGATTTTACTTTTTGCAAACAAAAAATCGTAAATTGATGTTTTATTCGAAACAGTACTCACCTATAAAAGACAGAGAGGAATGCTTTAACGATGCCGACAGATTTACATCTATGCATGGTTTAATTTTGAGAGCTTCTTCCTCCAGTATAATGTTATAAAACCTTGCACCACTAGGGTCACTCACGTCATAAGAGTAACGCTTTAAACTACAAACAAGAACAACTTCAGAAAAATGATATTATGGAGACAAATGAACAAATTTTGGATAGCATTCACTTGTATCTAAAACTCATAGACGCTACGTTATATAATGTGCCACCAAAATCAACTTTAGTGTTTTTTTCTGTTTTTTTTTTCCTGTTTTTTTTTTTTGTTGGGTCCATTTAAGGGGGTAACGCATATTTATATTTGCCCTTATCTGTTAGTCCCGCTTTTACACTGACATGCCCTCACTTACTTCTATAATAGGCACTAACAGATCTAAATAAATGAGCTTTAGTATTTTATCAACCAACAACGCTCGCTTAAGATATAAGAACAAAGAAACAGATCTCTTATTATTAAGTGCCTTTGCTGTAAGGTGAAGCGGCGTTAAATATTTCATAATTGCATACATAAATTATAATTTGATGTAAATTTTTCACGAATTTACCTTAATTCTGGTTCCCATGTTACCGCTGCTGCCGGAAATAGTCGAATATGGAAGCTGTATACTAAAGTATCTGTGAACATATAAACCATCAACAGAATGGCTAATACTACTATTCCGATCACGTATTTCCACACATTTCTGAAAGTAAAAGGTAAAAACAACAAAACAATGGAAAACATAAACTATATTGTATACGTAGCGTCCGTGGCCGAGTGGTTAAGGTTGTTGATTTCAAACCACCGCCGCGGGTTCGAATCCTGACAGGGACTTTGGATTTTTTCATGTGAGGATGCTATCCAGTTAGCCTACGGAACGTCAGAGGTTTTACTCACCTATAAAAATGCACGAAAGAGCAACTGAGGTCTTCCTCCACCAGTAAAGCTGGGACCTATACTGTGTCGGTAAGACGTAAAACCCAATCAAAACAGACACATATTAAATACATAATGATAATAATACCTGTAAGATTTGCTAAATTATATGTAATTATGTAGTGGATAACGAACACGAATTGAAATTGTGTATAAAGGTAAAAGATTGAGTATTGTTTTGTTTTCTTTTCCTTTTGCCACTTCAACTATACATTTAACTGTAGAACAGTAACATTGAATTTTAAATAACTCATTCCGCTCAAAGGCTCGTTTATTTCCAGTAACAATAATTATGATACATGTAATTCTGACATAAATATGAGACTTTTTTTCTCGGGACATTTATTTTCTGTTCCCGAAATATAAATGTCATTTAAGGTGTTTTGTTTATGCCTATTTTGAATAATTTACATATTTTATTGTATAATGCTTCAGTAAAAAAAGAGATTTTCATTTATTTGACAAATGTGCCTAGATGTCGTCAATAAAGAAATAATCAATTTTAATATTTGGAACAGAATTAATGCATTTAATCTCTCTCGTTTGATGACATTGTAACTTGCATTTTGATTGATTCCATCTTGCTTTATGATGTTTAAACTTGCAGTGTGCTTGATTCCATCTTGCTTAATGATATTTAAACTTGCAGTGTGCCTGATTCCATCTTGCTTTATGATATTAAATCTTGCATTTTGCTTCATTTCATATTACTTTATAATATCTTAACTTGCAATTTGTTTGATTCCATTTTGCAATAGTTCATTCAAACTTGCATAGTGACTCATTCTTTCATTGACTGATAACTATTGAGTTTGCATTAGTCATTTATCGTACTGTTTTGGAATATTAAAAATTAACCGTCATACATTATATGTATTATCTACCTTTCTTCATGCTCTATAAAAACTATTTTATTGCTTGGGGGACCATACGCCGCTTTTCATGGAATGGAACGGAAGTGTCACATTGAAGGTTCCATGATAACCGCCGTATGAACACATCTGCGGATGTTTCTAAATTCTAAATTTTACTATTTCATGTTTAAATGTTGAATTCTGCTTAAGCCGGTGCTAAAGGGCGTGGACGGTAGTATGTACTTGACAGTACCGTCCATGAACAGGCTCAAGCAAACCGAGCCTGCAACATTTTCAATTTTGCCGTGTTGGGCTTTCTTTAGGGATTCTGTATTTATCTATTTTTCGCTTATTTCAATTATTCAGTGTATTTGCTCAATCAAACTCGATCTCTTATGTTTGACTATCTGACCTTGTATATTATACAATTTAAACAATGTCTAGCGATTGTGAACCGTTCAGGGGCGAGCTATCAACGGATTTTTCCGTATTTCGCCTCTTGTCGGAATTGTCCGTACAGAAAATGTGGTGACAGTGTTCTTTTGCGTATATATCAATATGTACCAAGCACTGAATGTTTAAATTGCCCATTATCGATGCACAGCATTTATATTTTGCATTTTATTTGTGATCAATTAATATATTGAAGAATATGAATGCTAAGACACAGGGATAATACGTTTTGATCTGATATAATCTCCTACGGCTACTCTTCTCCCCTCCCTCCAGTCCCTGTTACAACCCAAAATAAATCATTTAAATTCAATTTCCACCATTAATATTCGTAACAACAATAATATGACACTATTATACAATTTTCATTTTACCTCTATATAGCATTAGTTATACAAGAGTAGCAACTCCTTCGCCCTTCCAGTGCTTTAATTCTACCCAAGTTTACATTCAATGTCATAACTCATCCAAATCTCTATATATTTTCAAAAAGTTGTTCTCAATCTATAGAGTATATTATTATCCCTCACTTTTATATGGTGGGAACGTATAATTTTACATCTAGTTATATCTATAAAAAGTAAATAGTGTTTTTTAAAACGCCGAACATTCTTTACTTGTTATTGATATAACTAGAAACTAAATGTAAAATGGTAGCTCAATGACCTAGATTTTTTTAATCGTCATTGTTAAATGGATAAATAAGACATGGTGTTCTATTGATATAACATCACATCAATTTCACATTGTATAGGAAAGTCAAGTCTCCCTCGACTGAAACTTTTCTTCAATGAAAGACAAAACAAAATATGAATAAATCTGCTGTTCTTTACTTCTTGCTCGATCTTATTATGAAATGCTATATTTAACCGGTTTGGACCGTTGATATTTAATTAAGGATGTTTTTTCTGGCTTTTTTGTTTGTTATTTTTCCTGATGTTTCACTTATCTACAAACTTGATAATAAGAATTACAATTATTTAGCTAAAGTTTCGTTTAAAAGAAAATGTCTGTTTATTTAAGGTGACCTCCCCATTCTGATGATATCCTGAACTAATTATTTCAGAAGTCAAGCTTTATTTCATAAAATATCATGATCAGTCATATGTCCGTCTGAATGTCCGATCGACTCATCATTTTATAACGTGGTAAATTTCGTAAATCTGGAGGCATGCTGATTTAATGGTTAATTGCTAACACTAGTTCATATGGAACGCCATAACTGCCTTATAAACACACATCTAAAGTTTTTATTTCGTTTAAAGAAATTATGCTGTGATTAGATATATGGTGATGTCGTTTTGATAGATAATGCTGTGGTTTTGATAAATGTTGATGTCGTTTTGATAAACGGTGCTGTCATATTAATTTACGGTGCTTTCAATTTATAAACGGTGCTGTGATTTCGATATATGGTGATGTCGTTTTGATAAATGGTGCTGTGATTTTATAAACGATGCTGTGATTTCGATATATGGAGATGTCGTTTTGATAAATGGTGCTGTGATTTTATAAACGGTGCTGTGATTTCGATATAGGGTGATGTCGTTTTGATAAATTGTAATGTCGTTTGATAAATGGTGCTGTGATTTCAGTATACGGTGCTTTCATTTTATAAATGATGCTGTGGTTTTGAGAAATGGTGATGTTTTTATAATATATAGTGTTGCTGTCGTTTTGATAGATGTTGCTGTGGTTTTGATATATGGTGATGTCGTTTTGATAGACGCTGTCATATTAGTTTATGACGCTTTTAATTTATAAACCTTGATGTGATTTCGATATATGGTGATGTCGTTTTGATAAATTGTGATGTCGTTAGATATTTGGTGCTGTGATTTCAGTATACGGTGCTTTCATTTTATAAATGGTGCTGTGATTTTGATATATGGTGATGTCGTTTTGATAGATGGTGATGTCATGTTTGGTAGATGTTGATTTCTTTTGTATATATGTTGATGTAATTTAGATGAATGGTGCTGTCGTCACTATTTAGGAGAGAAAATGTGTAAGCGGTCGGAGAGCTCAGTCGGTAGAGCCACGGTACGGTATTCCGAGGGTCACATGTCTGAGTCCCGGTCATGCTGCACATTTTTCTCACACTGTGACTGTATATAGCTCAGAGTTAATTTCCATTGCTCTGTTACCCTGTGAAATTCGAGCACAAATTTCAATATAGCAGGGGAGTATATCTCGGTTCAGAACTTTTCACTATTTAGTGGAGCCTTAAGGAATCGCTGTAAGTGGTAAGGGTCACAGGTCCGAGTCCCGGCCATGCTGCACATTTTTCTCACCCTGTGACATTTAGATAGTTCAACATCATCGATATAAAGATTGACAAAACTATATTAATCATGATAAAAATCATTAGCATTTATAGAAACGACATCACCATATATGAAAGCCTCTACACCATATAGAAATATGATAGCATCAAAATTAAACACCAATTACCATTCGTAAAATTCTCAGCATCAAATATAAAATAGCAAAACCATATATAAAAACCCACACCACCATATATAATCAAAGGGCTGCAAGCTCTGTGGTATTTTCTGATATTTGCAATCTAAATCGTACTGTATATTTGTATGTATTTTCCTGTATAAGTTTATTTTTATGTAGTATAATTCATCTTGCAAGGTACCAGGGTTTGCATACGGAATTTTGCATAACTAGAGTTGCATCAAAAAATCATTTATGTTCATTTTTTATGACAGCCACACTTTATCCTTGCATATCATGGCTACTTCCTTAACAAATATTCTAAAATAAGATTTTTTTAAAAAGTTGCCTCGACTGGGCTTTTAACTCGAGACCTCTCACTCACTAAACGAGCGCGTTACCCCTGCACCATACAGGAGTTATACAAACTAGACCTGAATAAAATCAAGTCATTCTAAATTTAGAACTTCCATTGCATTTCGGGTTTGTAATCCATATTAATTTCGAGGTATTTTGTTCAGGATAAATCTGTTGTTTAAAATTGAAGTAAATAATTTAGCGAAAATCTTCTAGCCCAAGCAGTCCGATATGTAGAATCTATATATTCCACTACTCGGCAATCAGGTTTATTTGTGTAGCATTCTGTAATCGACATCGCTAAAAATAGCATTTTCATTGAGTGTAATTTGTGATTATGCATTTATTGACAATTCTATTTTAAACTTTGAATGCGTTGTAATTTGTTGGATACTTGTAACAAAATAAAAATATTTCTTTCTTTTAAATCGCTTGTTTTAAGCTGTTTTGGGAACTACTTAATTGTTGTTAGGTTTGTCGTGAAACTTCTGTGTCAGATATTGAATATCAGCTTTCTATTTCCTGATCTTCGATCAGAAAATACAAAAATGACGCTAGATCTACTATTTACCAAAATAACAGCACGATTTATTAAAACCACAGCGCTACGTATTTATTTTGGATAGTCACGTGATAAAATGGCGCTAGGTTGAAAATTTTAAACGTCTAAAAATGCTCAAAAATATTATTTTTCTCATGAATTAACATAAAATGTTATTTTTATGTGATAAGTTCCAAACTGTTTTATGTGATGAAATGCATTTTGATATATTGTTACGTATATACACAAAAGATGATCTCCCGTGATCTTTCTTAACTCATCACACGCTAAAACGTTCAAATAATGAAATGGAATGTACTTGAAATTACTTGTTTTCAATCGAATAAAGCTAATGGAATAATTTTTAGTGGAATAAATGGCTAGTGACAGTGTTTCAGATAAAAAACGGAAAGCTAGTGACAGTTCTCTTATAAATGATAGTGAAATTCCAACTGGACGTTAACTTATACTGGAACACCTGGAGGGATCGCTGTAAGTAATATTTTACAGGAAACAAACTCTATTCTCTTAACACAGCTTTTTATTTAAGTACACTTTTTAAAAGCGTCGTAGAGAATGAAAATCATAGGTAAACAATCTGACTTATGCTGACATGTTGAAATTTTTAGAAAATATTGACAATATAATACTGCTAAAAAGAATACTAGAGAAAATAAACATGACTCTGTTTGGAACGTGAAGTAGATCACTTTGGTTTATTACTGTGCCTGAGAAAGCAGAACCTACCGACTTTAATATTGGAATTGTTTCATCACGGGTGCATGATTTGGAAATTAAAAATAAGCAATTGAGTGATGATTTAGCAGGCGCGTAGCTAGCCTATAAAGAATGTGGATTCAAAATAATCATCCCCCCCCCTGAAAATTTTGAAATAAATGGTGCAATCTGGTGCGTTTTGGGGCCTCCGGAGAGCTTTCTTGACCAACGAAAATCCATTTATTTTAGCATAAAAATGGAGATGAATAGCTTTACTTTCGTTTATTTCAACTAGTCTACATTTCACAGCAAGTCTAACTTGCGGCCTTTGCTGGCCGCAATTTCGTTAATGATAATATCAATATCTATTTCAAGTACTCAGTCTCTGCCAAACGTGTTTTAGCTTTCAAAGAGGAGCCTGGCATAATTACCACACTGAATAATATTTTTTTGAAAAGCTGTCGGCCTTTGCAGCTCATCAAAGTCGGAAGTTTTCACGCGCCGCATTTTCGCTAGACATGGTCAAACTCAACAAACAGACCGAAACAAATGAACACTAGGCATACATAGTATTATTTTAGTTATAATTACCTCTTTTCTATCGCTGATTCTGCTGATTACTTCTTTAAGAACTTGATGTAAACATTTGTTTACATTTCGAAAATACGGCGCGTGCAAACTTCCGACTTTGAAGAGCTGCAAAGGCCGACAACTTTTTAAAAAAATACTACGGTATGGTGTACGATTTAGGCTATATGATTTATAAAGTATTCAGTGTGGTAATTATCAGATCTGGCGAACGCGGCTGAATTTCAAACCACATTTTCTTACTAAAAAAATTTTTTTTGGTCAAAATAATGTGGATTCAGCTGCGTACTCGCGTATAGGCAGCTACGCGCCTGTTTAGTGTATATGCAGTCTCAGTCAATGAGAAACAACATTGCGTTTGGCAATATTGACGTGACCCCCTTGGAGGAATCGGAAATTACAGACCCTTTGGTGCGCGATTTCAGAAAAGCGGAGGAAATTTATTCCTTAGATGAAAGAGGCACGAAGCAAGGGATCCAGGTCATTATATGTTACTCTATTTATAGTTGTATCATAGTTTGGAGACCTTTCTGTTGAAAATGTGTCAGGGTTAAATCGTATACATATACATGCACAGTGCGTTAACTGAAGTGCGGGTATTAGTTACCCGCACTCCAGAGCATGCACATTGATTGGCTCATTTTTACTGGGGTTTACATATTGTGACGGCAGACAAAGGCAAAGCGACAGAAATATCATATTCAGATGTTCGTTCATTGGTTCATTTTTGCCGGGGTTTCATATTGTGACAACAGGGAACGTGTTTTTATGTTTGACTATGATACAAAAGAGAAAGAACACCAAAACACTCGGTAATCTGATTAATACTCCGGGGCTACGCCCCCTCGTACAAATCAGATAACCTCGTGTTTCGGTGCTCTTTCTATTACATAGAAGGCCATACAAGGAGGAAGAGAAATAGGGATTTGCAGGGGATGAACTTAGTGTTATGTGTTATTACCTGGAATTTGAATGGATTATCCACCGAAAAGAAAAGTAATGCTGACTTTCTCAATATTATTGATAATTATAGTATTGTTTTTCTGTATGAAACCTGGTCAAATGTAAATAGTATTATCGATTTAAGTGGTTTTGAAAATTTTAATTTTTATCGTAAATTTCAGCATCAAAAAGCAAGAAGATCTAGCGGCGGTGTTGCAATATTTTTTAAATCACATTTGAAAAATTGTATAGAAATAGTGCAGAATCATTAGGATACAACATTTTGGCTTAAATTAGATAAATGTTTTGTCTTTTTCTATTTTGATACAGATGTTTATATTTGTGCATTTTATTTGCGATGCGATGAATTACCGGTACCAGCATACACTAGTCATAATATAGATCTGTTTGATATAAAACAAGATATATCGTATTGTGTTGGTGAAATATATTTAATTGGTGACTGGAATAGCCGTGTTGGCACTAGAACTGATATTATTGCATGTGATACTGTAAATAATGATATAGATTTTGTTGATAATGTTCCAGACGAATCTCTAGTTCGGGCCTCACGTGATAATGGGTAGATCTATGCGTCTGCTCGATATTTATAAAAGCACGGACCGGTCGATTATATCATGATCACATGATCGGTAATTACACCTATATTTCGAGGCTAGGATCGTCTGTGGTTGATTATTTACTGACAAAACAGTGTCAGTTTTCTAAAATAAGCTCTTTTAAGGTTCAGGATTTTAATTGATTTATTGATCATTCGCCTTTATCTTTTAACTTATATTTATTACAGTTATAAAAGAAAGTCAACCTGAGACTGTAAATGTTGTGTACTATAAGTTGGCAGACGATTTAAGAAATAATTTTAGATCGAGACTTATTTCCAAGTTGCCAGAATTAAATACATTTAATAGTTTAACAAATCATGTTGACCCTAATTGTAGTGAATCGATTGACCTTATGTTCTATCTTATAGCTGATCCTTTGTTTCGTAAAGACATTAATGTTAAGTTTAACGGTAGTGATGTTATATTAGATCAGCCTTGGCTTGACCACGAGTGTGATCGCTCGAGACATTTATACATTAATTAATACGTTGTCTGTTTTTTTACCGTTTTTAATCTAATATAAATAGGGAACAGATATATTTGTACAAGAAAAGATATAAAGCTTGTGTTAAAAAAAAACGTAGAATGTATAAATTTTAAGCTGCATTTAATAAATAGATAAACTTATTTTGCCGTCGACCTAAAAACCAGGCATTTTACAGTTTCATAAACCTTTTTAACAACATTCTATCTCTATAACTCTATCAAGAACAACTCGTTGGCAAAGCATTAAAAACTCTTAATATGTTGTTAATGAAATGTAATGATTATAGAATGAAGCCCAAATTGTTTTGTCAACTGTTTGATTCATTCGAGGTTTTATAAACTATGCGTCTGATATTTTAGGCTGTAGCAAATCTAAAGAATACAAAGGGTATATTTTAAATTTTGTAAAGAAAATATTGATTGTTAACATAAGAACGTCTAATGCAGCTGTATATGGAGGGTTGACAAGTAATATATCCATTGAATATACTAAGACATGTTAAAATACCACATTTCTGGTTTTGCATTATTAAAACAGATAATGCCAATCTTAAGGAAGTTTACAATTTAAGTCTAAATGATTTTATTAATTATAGTAAAACAAACTATGTAACAAAAGTTGTTAAAAATTGTTAAACGTAAATGGTTTTAATTATATCAGGAATAACCCAGAATCTGTTGATGTAAACTTATTTAGAGAGGTTTATAGACACTTTTGTACAAACGAGGCATATTGATAAGGAAAACAATAATGTTTTAGACTTATACAAATATCAAACACAATTTTACATATGAACTGTACTTAGACTTTTTGCCAAGCAATTTAAGATTTCCTATTAGTAAAATCAGTATGTCTTGTCATCCTTTACTTATTCGTACTGACAGGTTTAACGATAAATCAATTGACACGACGCATTTCTCTGTTGATCACTAATCGGTATCTAGCCATGACGTCTACAACATTATTTTTGATAAAATTATATTCTAATCATCTACTGATGAAATCAGGCTGGGGCATATGTATGTGTATGAGTTATATAAGCTAACGGAGGTTGTGGGTGCGAATCCTGATCAAATTATAAAATACAGTTATTCCAAAACATAATTTACGTCAAAAGACAATGTATATACATGTTTCCTTGGAATAAAGACAAGTTTTATTTATTATTCTCTTGTCACCTCAAAATAAAACTACAAGTTGTATGCTGTCATTTATATCAACCATTAATCTTGCGGGTAAAGAAATCGTATTGAAAGTGGGCTAGCTTTGTGAAACCTCCTGACAGACCTGTTAACATTTCACGTTATAAACGTTATATAAATATTGTACCTGTAATTTGATATAACGGAAAGTAAACAGAGATCTTGACGTACTTTACATATTTAACATTGATATGCAACATTTTATTATTTCTTAAAACTCATTAAAGAATCTATTAATATTAATTACATAAAAATCAAGTGAGTGCAATTATAACTATATTTTTAAAAAAAAGAAAGATAATAACTTACAGTGCGAGCTTCGCCATCAGGCAATGTAAATGTATTCTATATCCTATCACTATATGTTTGCGTTTAAACACGGTTTCTATCTCTCCCTTTGAAAACAAGTTTCAAATTTCAAGTTAATTGGCAAATCGACAATGAACATCTTTTTAAGCCGTATACACACATACACTATATGGCACAGACATTTAACATCAGTTTAACTATATACATGTTTACATTTTATACTGATACAATAGAAAAATACAAGTTAAAAGACAACAGTTTTACACTTCAGAGATAAGAGTTTAATTATTTGTTAAGAAGCTGTGACTGTGTTTTCGAGTTACACTTGCAAGAAAATATTGACGTGGGTCTAAAATCAAATATCAATTTATTGATTGTTATTTGCAGATGATGACGCGATCATTTCAGTTTCTAGGTCCGGTTTGCAAAAGTCACTTGATAGTTTACTGTTTAGGAGATTTTCTATATACAGATAAAAAAGATAATTGTATATTAATATTGTGTAGGCAGATAGATGAAGTTGATGCGGTAGATTGTTCAATAAACTGGGCTTGAAAAGTTAGAAACATTCTTCAGTCAGCAGAATTCAATGAAGTTTGGTTTTATCCCGATTCTATAAATATAAAGCTATTTGTACCAATTTTTAGGAATAGAGTACGGGATATTTGTATAAGTTGTTGGAATGATGGTATTCAATCTTCATCATTGTTAGATGTATATAGGGAATATAAGACCACATTTGAACAATCGTTTTATATAAAATATATTGAAAATGTTAAATATAGAAATGTTTTAGCCGAAATTAGACTGTCCTCACACAAACTTGATATCGAGTTAGGAAGACATAATAATCATAATAACATACCAAGGAATGAACGAAAGTGCACTTTATGTAATATGAATGATATAGAAGACGAATTTCATTTTATCCTGAAATGCCGGATATATTCTGAGCTAAGAAAACTATTCATTCCAAGATACTATTATTCCAACCTGAGTATGTTTAAAATCATTTTATTAATGCAAACTGATCGTAAACAAGAACTTAAAACTTTTAACAGTATTTTGGGATGGAGCTTTTAAAATGAGGGAGAGTTTGTTAAAATATACTGACGTGTAAGTTTTGCTCTCTTTTTGATATTGTGAATATGATATTGTACATACATGTATTTTCTTTTGATTTATATTTTTGTCTTCTCAAATAAAAGACACAGGCGCGTGTCTGTCTGTTTTCCAACACACAACAACATATAAATACCAAGATTAGTAGTTTTGACAAAATAATCTTTATAAATAAGTACTTTTTATACGCCCGTTTGAAAAACGGGACGTATTATGAGAACGCCCCTGGCGGGCGGGCGGTCGGGCGTATGGGCGGGCGGGCGGCGTCCAATTTTGTCCTGAGCATATCTCTTACATGTATGGAGGGATTTTAATGAAACTTCATAGAAATGTTTACCACTATGAGGAGCAGTGTCGTGCACATGAACCAGGTCTCTAGGTCAAAGGTCAAGGTCACACTTAGAGCTCATTGAAAAATGCTTGTCAACGGAGCAAAACTTCCACATGTATAGAGGGATTTCAATATTACTTGGCACAAATGTTCACCATTGTGAAAGGCAGAGTGTCGCGCGCAAGATTCAGGTCCTTGCGGCCAAGGTTCAAGGTCACACATAGAGGTCAAAAAGTTCAGATAAAATATGAAGATGTGAATATGGACCTTTAGTCATCATTTATTGAGGGATTGTAAACACAAATGGTCATTATCAAGGACTATGGCTGTGATACATATAATTAGGTCAATATATACAAGGTCAAGGTCACTAAAGATGATGAAATATCCAGATTTTGTCTGGAGCAATATCTCCTACACGCATAGAGGGATTTTAATGAAATTTCATAGAAATGTTCACCATTATGAGAAGCCATGTCACGCACATGAACTAAGGTCTCTAGGTCAAGGTCAAGGTCACACTTAGAGCTCATTGAAAAACGCTTGTCCGGAGCAAAACTTCCACATGCATAAAGGGGATTTCAATATAACTTGGCACAAATGTTCACCATTGTGAGGCGGAGTGTCGCGCGCACAAAATTCAGGTCCCTGCAGCCAAGGTCAAGGTCACGCATAGAGGTCAAAGTTTAGATAAAAATATGAAGATGTGTATAGGGACGATTTAATCATCATTTATTGAGGGATTGTAACACAAATGGTCATTATCATGACTACGGCTGTGACACATGTACTTTAGGTCAATATATGCAAGGTCAAGGTCACTAAAGATGGTGAAATATCCAGATTTTGTCTGGAAGGCAATATCTCCTACATGTATGGAAGAATTTTTATAATACTTTATGGAAATGTTCACCACCATGATATGTATTGCTCCATGCATGATCCAGGTCTCCAGGTCAAAGGTCAAAGTCACACTTAGAGCTCATTGAAAAACGCTTGTCCGGAGCAAAACTTCTACATTCATAGGGGGATTTCAATATAACTTGGCACAAATGTTCACCATTGTGAGGCTGAGTGTCGCACACAAAATTCAGATCCCTGCGACCAAAGTCAAGGTTACAATAGAGGTCAAAGTTCAGATAAAAATTGAAGATGTGTATAGGGACCATTTAGTCATCATTTATTGATGGATTGTAGCACAAACGGTAACTATCATGACTACAGGTGTGACACATTTAATTTAGGTTAATATTTGCAAGGTCAAGGTCACTGGAGATGATAAAATATCCAGATGTTGTCCGGAGCATATTTTCTACATGCATGGAGGAATTTTAATGTTACTTTATAGAATTGTTCACCACCATGAGACGTAGTGCCCTGCACATGAACCAAGTCTCTAGGTCAAAGGTGAAAGGTCACAGTTAGAGCTCATAGAAAAACGCTTGTCTGGAGCAAAACTTCTACATGCATAGAGGGATTTCAATATAATATTTGGCACAAAATGTTCATCATTGTGAGGCTGAGTGCCGTGCATAAAATTCAGGTCCCTGCGACCAAGGTCAAGGTCACACATCCTGTGCATATCTTCCCTACTGATTTGTTTTAAGGTTCATTTAACAACACAGTGCCAAGAATAAAAACTTGCTTGCTATATAACACTTATCCATAATGCCCCCATCTCCATCTAAAGCTTTCGTAAATGGGCGTATTTTGTGACTATGGCACCCTTGTTTCAATAACGTATTTATCATGCAGAAATGTATTCAATTATAGTTATTGATCATGAATTATTACTACAATATTTGTTATGTAAAGTTACATAAGTCATTCCAATTCATTTGTCACAATTACTATTTTCATTAAAATTGCGGTTTTCTTTTTGTGGATTCTATTGATAGCATTACTGGATTTCTCAAATATATAACAAAATGTTTTGTAGATAAAGTTAATATTGTTAGATACAGGAAAAATGACATGTGCCAAATTATTTGAGAATCTTTTAATCTTAAAAAAAGTACATCATGCACAATAAATGTGCACTCATTTGCACATTTCACCTTTCATTTGACTTTTGATCTTGAACGTTATTTGGGGCGTGGGTGGGGAGGGGGGGTGTCGCACCAACACAGTATAGGTCATATAGCTTCCTCACATGAAAGAGTGCAAAGCCCGTCGGGATTCGAATCTATAGCATGATGTGCAAGTGGTTTAAATTTAAGCTACGGTGCTGGTTCCTTAACTGCAACGTACCGACTTATTAGGTTAACAATTATCTTGGAGATTCTCTAAAGCGATAGCGAAGGCAAAATGCACTAAATTAAGCATTGACTTTAAATGATACTGTTGTAGTACATAGGTAACTGATTTACTGAGGGTCGCTTGTCAGAGGTTGCTCCGTTATTATATATAAAGACATTTTCATTGAGACGCGCTTCTTACTATTACATCAATCATTTGTTATAGTACTTGTCTAATATGCGTCGCTGAATTTGCCGCAATGATGAATATTTACATATTTATAATTAGCTTGTATTTTAAGCTGGGCTTTTCTGCCTAATATAAAAATAAAATGAGAAACCTTCGCCAGGAGTTGATTTTAATTAACCCAGTGACATTTGTGTCAAAATAATCTGTAATTCTTTATTCATTTTGCTTTAATTAACAAAATAAAACCGAGGCTATCAGTTTTGATTTATAGAGAAGGTTATTACTGTCAACGTATCCACTGTTGACAGTAGAAATCACAGTAAAATATTAAAAAAAAATAAACTGAATATTTTGTAAGACTTTTAATTTCATTTTGCAACACATCCAAATACCATTTTTGTATTAAATAATGTCAGTGTCAATCAGTTTGCATCTTTTTACAGTTATATTGATAGATCAATTTGGTTGAAAAAAATATACCACCGCGAAAAAAACAATTCAACGAGCAAACAATATTTTTATGAACTTGCCCATACATACATACATAGATTCTATTTCAAAACTGCAACAAAATACAGTAAACGTATTTATCATACAGCATATGGCGTTACTCTAGCACAATGGACGCCTTTCTCGTATTTCACACATTTAAATGTTATCGTTACCCAGGCTAAACATAACAAAAGTCTTTGTAATATAATAATAATATTCAAAACTGAAACTTTTTTCATTCTCATCACATTTAGTTCCCGCTAACGAAGTTTATGAAGGAAAACATTGTTTTCACCTTAAAGCAGCTGATCTCCAGAAGATAACAGAAAAAACTACCGTGTCACAAATATTTCAAAATCTAATTTCAAAAACATTATATAGTTGGAAGAAATCGAAATGACACTTCAAACTGTTAATATTTTAACATTATTGCACTGAAAACAAACATTTCGCTTTTCTGCCAATGGGAAATACTACGGACTTCTTTATCTCGTACCACGTGATTGTACAGGACAGTATCGCGACCTGTGGTTCGGAACGTACGGAATCCGAATCGTGGGGAACAAATAGCTGCTTTTGTTTTGATATTAGTAGTAACATTGTGGCACTAAAATCATAATTAATTAATTAAAACATATATTTGCTTACAAATTTATCGATTTAAACTTTAGAGGGGCCTACTCAAAATTGATATACGATACCGGGCCTACCGAATACCGGGATTTTTTCCAGTTCACTGTTGTGAC